CCCCCCCCACCCAAAGAACAAGGAGCCAATATTGGACCTTCGCTTTCCTTGGTGATTCAAAACCCCAATCTCATGGTTGGAGCCTTGGAGGTGGAGGGTCCTTTCCACAACACTATACCTCCCTAGTCACTAACAAAATTAAACAAATAAATAAAAGAAAAAAGGTTGTGTACTCATTCACCACCTATCTCTGACTTGGATCCTGAAAAGGTATGTGCCCCTCCTTGTAGACAACACATTAGTACTGGAAAGTGCTTAAATAGGTGGATAATCATCTTCCGGGGGGTAAAGACACCCCATTTAAATGATCTTACCTTGCTTGAATGTTGACCAATATTTGTTCAGATTTGCAATTACTTTTCTGGCTTCCATTTATTTAACTGGTTGATTGGGAAAGCTTACTTAGAGGAAGTGAAAAGTTCGCACAAATGGGGAGGAGACGTCTTAGCTGTTTGCTTCCTTAGAAAAGCATGTTGAATTACCCGCGCTGGTGTAATAACAGGTTAAAGATGGGTCGTGAACCTTAGTAGATACCAGAGTCAATGGTATCTAATATGTTTTACCTACTATTGACCCAGTTACTCCAGACACATTGAAGAGTTCAAGTAGCATAAACAATTCCTACCCACAGCATAATTATACGCAACAAAATAAAATAAGTATGCCTAGAAAGCACCTGTATTAAACTAGGCATAAACAATAAAGTTATTTCTATACATGTGGTGCGGGCCAAGGCAAGAATGTATTGCAAATAGGGTTCTAGAAAATGAAGACTTCACAAGTCTTCACAGTGTAATGTTGCGTCGACCCAATCACTCCAGCCATACTAAAGAGTCCAGGAAGCATAAACCTTTTACCCACAACACACACATACAGAACAAAATAAAATAAGTATGCCTCAAAAGCACGTGTCAAACTGGGAATAAACGATAAAACAATTTGTAGCTCAGGCAAGAATCTATTGCATATAGGGTCTCATAAATGAAGTCTTTAAATCTTCAGTGGACTCAACTATGGAAATGAACAATCAGAAAGAAACAGAAGTTGGTATGAATCATACAAATATGTTTGAGAACTACTAGATATATGCAAACTTAGCAGCCAATTTTACAGGTCATCTGATTACATGTCACAGCACTCTACTGTACCTGAGGCCTGCTATAAGCATAATACTTTCCGAACTTTCACGCAATAGCTACGTAGAAAATAAGATCCAACAACCAAGGCACGGCTAACAGAAAATTGGACAAAAAAGAAAAGAAAATAAGAAACATAGAAGATAGAGAGAGACTGGATGAAAAGAAAGACAGTTTCAACCACAATTCTCTCCTTTCATCTATCATAGATTGCACAAAGGTACACAAACATGCAACTTCTAGAGGTAAAAGATAAGCAAAATTAATCCTTCCAGAGACAGAGATGCAATCAAATTTAAATTTCAGGAACATGCAATATTACCTCTGGCTCACTTCCATCTGAATTGAAGATCCTCATGGTATAATCAGTGCCATTGACACCCGGCATTGCAAATATCACGCCATCAGCACCAATCCCGAAGTTTCTGTCACATAGTTTCACAGCTTGATCAGGACTGACCTTAGGTTCTGTTGTATCTCTATTGTCAACCTGCTCAAACAATCATGGACAAGATGAGCCTCTAATCAAACACTCAAAATAAAAGATCAAAGACCAAAGAACTAAACAAATCATGGCTCTTTTCCTCTGAGTTCATGCTTCTACACTTACTTCTCCAAATACGAAAACATCACAGCTATACAAGGTTGGAAGTGGGTAATGGGTGTAGAATAAAGTTTTGGACTGATATATGGTTGGGAAGTGAATGTTTGAGCTCCAAGATTCCAACGTTATTCAGTTGCTCAACTAACAAAAAGGGGACTGTTGCAGAATTTTATTCTACTACTGGTTGGCAAATTAATTGCAGAAGAGGTCTAAATGATTGGGAGATGGATGACTTATGTCAGTTATTACAGCAATTGGATTCTGTTGCTGTGGAAGAAAGCAAGAGGGACTCGTTGATTTGGACTGCAAGTAGGGATAAGAAGTACTCAGTCAAGAGTTGTTACAATTTACTACAACAGCAGATAGGACACTGGGAATCTGATTGGCCATGGAAGATACTCTGGAAGACTAAAGCACCTGTAAAGGTGGCATGTTTCGGGTGGATAGCTACTATGGGAGCTTGTTTGACCCAGGATAACCTGCAGAAAAAAGGCTTTGCACTAAGTAATAGATGTTATCTATGTGAAAGAGACCAGGAAACTACAAATCACCTTCTTCTACATTGCAAAATCTCAAGGCAGTGTTGGGATCTTTTCTTGAATATCTGTGGGGTATCCTGGGTAATGCCACACAATGTTAGGAGTTTGCTGGAGAGCTGGCAGAGTCGAAGAATAGCTAAAAGACAGCAGCAATTTTGGAAAATCATTCCTCTATGCATCTTTTGGACTTAATGGCTGGAAAGAAACAAGCGATGCTTTGAAGGACAAAGAAGACATATCTCTAGAATTAAGAACAATTGTCTGCATAATTTGTATTTCTGGTGAAAGAGCAGTATTTTGGAGAATGTAGATCAATATTTCGACTTTATTGAGATGCTTGGAAAGTTATTGTAACTGGCTATTCTGGAGCCTTCTTTCATGTACTTTTGTGTACCATCTTGGTACTTATTCAATGAAATCTTTACCTTATCAATTTTTTTTAAAAAAAGCATCACAGTCATGGAAAGGTAATCATGATTCACAAACATAGGATTCCTTTTTCAAAGTGTAACTATCAAAAGCATAGGATTTTTTTTCTCCAAACCTTAAAATTCAAGCTCATTCAAATAAGTAACATACTAAAGTTTCACTATTTTAAACTGTCAACTGTTATTAAACAATGCCACATTTACTACTCTGGCAAAAGACTCAAACTTTTGAGTTCCAAACCAGTATATAGGATTTAAAAATCACCAATGAATCGAGTTTTTAAAACTAGCTAAGTCATTTTCTGCAATTTTGCATCTTTCCAACGAACACCAAGACCAATCAATCAACACTTTGAGATATTACAAAAAAGATAACTAAGAACTTTGAGATATATTAAATGAGAATAAGATAACCTCGCCCTGTTCAGTTTTGGCAACAGGGAAAACATAAACTCAGCAATCAAAAACGCCTCAATCCCAGATTAGTTGGGTCAGCGACACATACCACATAATTAAATTAAAGATATTTGAAAAAGAATAAATAGTGATACGACCACTGTTTGAAACTATAGTTACGGAGGAATGTCAAAACTACAAAACGGTGAAACTTTACATAGATGGAGTTGACCAAGATAACGGGAAACAAATGCAGCAAGTGATATCTCTTAAATTGACCCCGCATTTCCAAATTGCTCGGAAACTAGAAAAAAACATTATTCATATCGAGCATTTCATATGTATTGTGTTGTATTACCAATATGAAGTCGTTGCCGAGGCCGTGATACTTGACGAAGTGAAGAATTCCGCTTTCCTTACGATCAAGGAAAGAATCTGGTGAACCTTTCTCCGGAGCTTTGATTCTCATTGAAGATGCCGCGCAAATGCGGAAATTAGGGCACTGTGTTCCTCTACCGGCGGTGAATTTGAGATTTTTCGGTCGTGCAGTTAAAGGAGAAGAAAATCGAATGGGATTAGCGGAAGTAGAAGAAAGAGAACGGCGCCTTGGAGTTGTGAGAGGCACCGTAATTGCGGCGGCGATGGCCATTGGAGTGAGAGTCAAAATTGTAGGTTTCCTGCCTGAAGCATTTTAACGTTTCTTTCTTCTAATTTCGGCTTTAATTTTTAGCTCCTGGTAATTTCTACGTATTATATTTTCTACTTATTATTATTTTTCTATTGAGAATATGGTTGACCAAGGTCAAGCTAGTGGTTTCGACATGGCTGTTTTGTGTCACAAAAATCAAATCTAAGGGTAATTTCGTCATTTAAGTACTTTAATATAATTTACGTGTCTCTTATAGGTGGAATTGAACGGACGCCTCATCTCTCTGTGTCTCTTTTCTCCACCATAACCAAATCAATCCACCGTTAGCAAAGCAAAGCAGACACAAGAAATAGCAGCAAAGAAACGATCCACCATAACCAAATCATAGCAGAGACAAAGATCAATTCAAAATCAGGTAAAAATTCCCTTCTGACGTTCAAATTTGAATTTGATTCAAAGTCATTTTACTCAATTATTGCTCTGTTACAGCTTTACTCCATAGTTTCTTTGTCTCTCTGGCAATTAGCTTTTATCTGATTTTTGGATTTCTCCATTCTCTTTGGTTTTGGCATTTGTTGTACCTGTGAATTGGTGTTAAGGTTTCTTCTCTCTTTTTCTTCCTTCGTTTTATCAATTTCTTGGTTTTTGCATTTTTTCTCTTTGTGTTTTTGGCCTCTGCTGTACTATGATGAGTGCTTTCCTTCCTTCTCTTTCTTCCTTTCTTTGTTTTATCCAATTACTGGTGATGGCATTTTGATATATAAGCCAACCAATGTGACTCCGTGGATAACTGTACATTAACCTATCATGATAGTAATTTTGTTTGCTTTAGACTTCTTGCTGAAGATTTGAATTTCAAAAATGAAGGATTTTGTCTTCCGTTATTGTTTGGTTATTTGGTGTAGAATAAATCGCGCATAAATTAAGCAAACAAATGCTTGATTTTCCTGAATGTACATTGCTGGTGAGTTCATTCAGGCCGTTCGAGCTCTTGATATGAGCCTTATCGTGAGAGGAATGATACTCAGAGATGAGTTGAACCTCACAATCCAAAAGGTGGAACAAAGCACAGGAATGCTTTCGTAGCTTCTTCGGGTAATGAAGGAGAAAAAGGTGAATCCGAGATTAAATTTGTTTCTCAAGAAATTAACGTGGCGTGAGGTTTGTCACTAGCAATCTACTTTTGCTCGGTTCGCTCGTGATCGATATACAAAGTTACGTTCTTCGTTAGACTATATAAAAAAACTTAAAAGGAAAAATGTGATTTTGATAATATGTTTTTTTAATCAAGTCCATTTTTTCAAAGTGCATTGCTTTGTGCTCTATTCACTACTCTGTATATATGTTTTCTTATTTGTAAGGATATGAGAATCCTTTTTTTCATTTGGATTTATCAGAATCCTTTTAGTGAAATTCTTGTATGAATTTGTTGTGTGTCTGTGTCTGTATTTTCTTCTTTTGTGATGTATGCTATCATTAGGAACTGATAGATTAGATCTCGAAATTGGCTCATACTATCATATGTTTTAAATGTGGAATAAGATTAAATTAAAATACAAGGCAGAAGGAGCAGTTCTCAGCGAAGCCATGGATCACTGGCATGCCAAGCGTAAAAGACCTGGAAAACCTTCTCTTTTATATAGAAAACTGATATGCCCGAAGGCTTTTTTCCCTGCAACATTGAATAGAGGAGGTCGATCTATCAGAATAGATCATAATACAGTTATGGGTTATACTAGAACAAGATTGATCTTTATTAAAAAATATGACATAATTGATTGCTTATATGGTTCACTATCTAAATAACATATGATTCTTGATGTAACTTATGATCAAAAAAGGAATCAAAGATTTCTTGGTTTCGTCATTTATCCATTGGAATCTCTACTATAGCAATATCGCGAAACATCCTTACTCATCTTGACATCACTTAATGGAACTTGCTTATAATTTTTTATGCTAAAAGAGATACTAGCAAAAATATTTTCTCATCTAAAAAGAGATAAGATTGTTTCATATTGATTTGTTTAGATTTTGCTGTGCAGTAGATTGATAAATTATGTTTTGATGCAGGATATTGATGGAAAAGATGTTCCATTTAGCACATTTAAGGGAGAGGTTCGTTTAATTGTCAATGTTGCTTCCAGATGGTACTCTCTCCTCTATTTGTGACTGCATGCTTAAGGTTCAGGATAACTTTACTATTATTTAGTGCTCTGACCAGAGAAACTAATTGTGGGATTCAGTGGGTTGACGACATAAAATTACACAGAGCTCTCTCATTTGTATGAGAAGTATAAAAATCAAGGTGTGCTACATGCTCTAGGATTAAAATCAGTATACCTTCTTTTCTCTCTCTCACCCTTTTTTGGGTTAACATTTTTTTTATGGGTCCATTGAATATGTTGAATCCATGTGGACATCTGGATTGTATCTGGGAACTTGGCACATTTCACTCTCCATGAAATGAGAGTACTTCTCCCGAACGTATTTAATTTTTAGTGTTACTTTTCATTCCCCATAAAATACTTAATCTATAATAGTCAATAGATACAATACAGGGAAGAAAAGTAATATTTTATTTTACTCTTATTAAAATTTAAAAGTCTAAGTCAGTAGTACTAACATTTGCGCAATAACTAAATGAAATTTGAAAGGCATAATTATAAGCCAAGATTTACTCTCTCTATGGTCTTTTGTGCGATCAACCAGATGTTGCTTTGATAGCTATTGGACTTGCACTAAAGTGCTCTTCTTGATTGTGTTTTCAAGGTGGCATTGAGTATTCTCTTATTGGTTTTCTTTCTCTCTTCCTTTTTGCCTCATACCCATTTCAAATCTTCAAGATTGTGAGTATTTCTTAGCTCTAAGAATGAGGTAAGGGTAGTGCAAAAACTTAGTTTTTTTTTTCTTTGTTATTTTCTTCAAGAAAGCTTTTTACTCTTATATTGCTCTAGATATATCTATGATTCAGGAGCCATTGTGAGATTGAAAGCTTTTGGCTTGATTAGACCACTTAATGGTTTGCAAAATCAGTACTTAAAGCCCAATATAGTTGGCGCGCAGGTAAAGTCGTAATTTTGATAAATATGTAAGGCTAAACTAATATAATTAGCAGTTTTCTTTCAGAGCATCTCTGGTAGCTATCTCTGGTAGCTATCTATTTGAATGAGCCTACACATAGATGGGATGTATCTCACGCTGTCCAAAAATACCCAGATTTAATACAACAACAACAACGACCCAGTAAACTCCCACTAAGTGGGGTCTGGGGAGGGTAGTATGTACGCAGACCTTACCCTACCCCGATAGGGCAGAGAGGCTATTTCCGATAGACCCTCGGCTCAGGAAGATGGAAATAAAACAAGAAAAGACAATTCATCAGTATTGTCAACATAACCATAGAAATAATGACAGCATCCTAAAAATCATAAAATAGATGACATGCAATAACAATAACCCTCAACTAAGGTCTAGAGCTATGGAAAACAGTAAGGTTAGTGTGATCTCTACATTAACCACAAATACCTAGATTTAATAAACTATTGAAATTATAGAAGTATGTAAGTTATATACTTAGAGAATGTTCTGATAGAACATTTTGGATATGCTTTGTTCTCTCAAATTACTAAGTCTGATCTTTCCAATTTATATTTGTTGAGATTCATGAGAGTGCTTCCTCTCTATGCATTTGTATGTGTCCTATTTTTTTCAACTTTTAGCAACTTCACTTCAGCAGATGTGTATTGTCTTGCTTCTTTGTTTATAGGTGTTTTTGTCAAAAAAATGCTACGAAAAAGGCCAAGAAGATATTAAACACACATCATTGGTAGTCAATATTTATATAGCTATTCCATATATAATGTAAAGACTATCATTTTAAGCATCTACTAATGTGATGTTGTATGTAAAGAATGTATATTTTGAGCCAAAATGTAAATAATATCGGCAGTTAGCATGCAGGGTTGCGTCTGATTTGATACTAACTTCCATGCATCAATTTTATTATATACAATTTTATATCAAAATAAAGTTAGAAAAAAATAGTTTAAAATATAATAATATTGGGCTCGTGCTAGCACGGGCAACCCGACCTAGTATATTAGAAGAACTTGAGTTTCCATGTGCCTGCTTAGCTGTCTTTTTCATTTTTTGTTCAAGGGCAGTTTGGACCTTTAACAACATCTGCTTTAATCCCAAAATTGGACCTCCACCGCATCAGTTCTTCTGTGGTTTTTGTCTTGTGTGTAATTTGAGCTTAACCCAAAGCACGAACAGACTCTTGCAATTCATTCTTTCTTACTTTCCCTTTCCTTCATCTCTCTGTGCTCTATTGCTTCTTGGCCAGACTAAGGTAATTTGACTTTTCGCTAATCCTTATGAGTTGTTGCTGATTTCAATGACACGAATCCTCTTCCAATTTTTCCTCCTAATATTTAACGCTTTCGCTTCTGGTTTTTCATTCAAATTTCTCCATTTTGAATCCAGCTTCTCTGTGGCATGTGCTGTATGTGTATGTCTATGACCTTTTTTCAGTTTTTCCTTTGTTTGGTAATGGGACTTTGGTAGGTATTTGTTAGTTTTTTATTTTTCCTGTTTTTTGGATTTCTTTCTTGCTGGATTTTATATATGCATTCAGTAGTTGTATCTTATTTGATGTTTGAAAATAGCTACATAGATGCATATTTGTGATATACTGTTATTTCTGGTGTTAGTTGTATAAGATTGTTTTGAGAGTAAATGGGTTCTTTGAGGATGAACTTATTTGTAAAATTGTGATTCGAGAGTAAATGGGTTCTTTAAGGATGAACTTAGCAATTACTGATATTAGAATCTTTCTGCTTATTGAGTTGTTCATCTTCTTTTGTGTATTCCACATGTGAATGTAATTATTGTCCTACAGTAGTAATGGAACATAAAATATTTTTGGTGCAGTCAAGGCGTTTGATGATATGACTGAAACAAGTGAATTTTTTTTATCCTTTTCTGTTACTATAGGTATTCTACAATATACGCATCCATCATCCACTAAGCCTATGGTATTTATGAGAGCAAGAAAAAAAATGTATAAATCGGTGAAATTTCTTTACTAAAAGAGCTAGACTTGAAACTAGAGTAATTAACTTAGCATCAAATTTGTCCGGAGCTTTATATATTTTGAACAGGGGTGATTATGTGATTTCACATGTACGCAATATGTTACAGATGAAAAGTGACTAACATCAAATATGAAATCACATGTAAAATTTCCCTTTCTCTAATTTTGTGTCACCTATTCACTGTTTTGGCAGATATTTGCAGAATTTCAAGTACCATTTCCACAGGTTCCAACTCGAGATTGCTACTTCGTAAGATATTGTAAACGAAGTGTTGATGGAACAAGAAATGCCAATTGGTTACTCAAAGGTAAAACCTTCTATATATTCATACAACCCATATGTAGCTTGGACTTATAAGCCTGATATTTAAGTGGATAATGGTAAAGAAATGGGCTCGTTATCTACCAAATTTTGAACCATGAACCATCTAGCTTTCAAAGATTTCTCAGTTATAAAATAAAAGAATGTTGCTACCAAGTTTGTCCATATTTAAATTCTGAGATTATGAATTCGAATTCTTATTAGTCAACATTTTACCAACCTCTAGGTCACCTGGATTGAGCATGTAGAGGCAGATGATACAGCAATTTATAACATTTACAAGCCTCTTTTAAATTCTGGCCTTGCATTCGGGGCAAAGCGTTGGATTGCTACTTTGGATAGACAATGTGAATGGCTAGCAAGTGCGATGGCCACAAATTTACCCGACGATAACATGACTAATATGAGTAGGTACAATAACACACTTTTTGAATGATGTGAAAAACAAAATTTAGTTCTTGAATTTAAATTCCTGAATTGACGTTCTTATCTTTTTTATTCATTTTCCTATACAGTATTAGGAGGTCCAGAGGGAAGAAAGAGTGTGTTGAAGCTAGCAGAGAGAATGATAATTAGCTATTGTTCTGGAGTTAGTGCTACAACAGCTCATCAATGGACAACTCTCTCAGGAAGTGTGGTTCAGAAAATGATGTTCGAATCATGTTTAGGAAAAGCATTAATGTTCCAGGCAGACCTCCTAGCATTGTCATGTGCGCTGCTACTTCCTTCTGGCTCCTGATTTCTTCGAAAACAGTGTTTGATTTTCTCCATGATGAAAACACTAGGACTGAGGTACGCTTTGTATATAGTCATTTTCGTTTAGTTTTTGAATATCTAAATTTTGTTTCCTCTTCTTTTATGAAACTACTCCTTCAGTTTCAATTTATATGACATATTTCGCTTAGTAAGAGTCAAATTGTGTGAAGTTTGACTAGCATTTTAAAATATATTTTATTATCATATTGGCATGAGAAAAATTACAACTTATAGTACTTTTCATGTAGTTTTTGAATATCTAAATTTTAATTTTAAAATACTAAGTTAAACTAATTTAATTTAGCTTCAATATTTAGTCAGATAGACTCTCGATAAGCGAAATATATCATCTAAATTGAAACAGAGATAACATTCTACAAGAATTAAAAGGATCGAAGCATTACACAAGTATCCTTTATCTCAGGGGCAAATGTAGTGTTCAAGCTACGGGTTCAATTGAGCACATAACTTTCGACACGGAGTAAAAATTTATATATAAAAATTCATTAAAATTGAAGAATAGTAGATATGAATCCATAACTTTAAAACTATAATTGGTTTAATGCTAAAAAAACCTTGAAAGTTGAACCCATAAGATTTAAATCATGGATCCACCTCTGCTTTATCTTGCATCTAATTTTTTGTTGGATATCTTAAATATTTTTTTTACTTGAAGCATTAAAGCCTAACTGTTGTACTTCTACCTTCCTAATTACAGTGGGATATACTATCCAATGGAGGTGTTATTCAGAGATTGGTTCATATTGCTAATGGCAGGGAAACAGGCAACTCTGTCTCCATATTGAGAGTGAATATAAGCAAATATAATCTTCACTTTTACTTTCTTTTCCCATATTATGATTCATGGGAAAATTGGGTCGTGACAAATTAATAATTAATCACTATATGGATTAACTAATTAGCGCGCATTCCAATATTTGGTTGTTAATATGCAGAGTAGTGCAATCTCAAGCAAAAACAACATGCAGATATTACAAGAGAGCAGTACTGATGTGAAGACAAGGTCGTCGTTTTTAATCATGTCATAGATCTCAGTGGTGTTTTATTACTGCTACACGGGGAGACTTTTGAAGGCTAAAGCTCTATATGGTTCTAGCATACATAGATATATGTCTAGCGAGAGGATAATAGAGATCAACTCACACAACCCTATCATGAATGAGATCAAGCAATTCTACCATTCATGGACTGAATGGTTATCCTTACTGATGTAGACAACAAAATAAGTTAGTTACGAAGAAAAGCTATGATATGTCTATTGGGGATTTTTCCTGATGCTGCTTGTGACTACTTTTCTCAATTTAGCTTTCAGCTTTAATTGTCCTACACCTATATGAATAGAATTATATGACTCTAAAAGTTGGCGGAGTTTTGATGAGGATCTAGAGATGCTGATGTTGTTCCTTTAACTTTTGCTCTCGCGTAAGCACACCTGGAAGTGACTCAACGTTTGAGATAATGTATCTTTGTGCCTTTTCAAAAAATAATGTAACTTTGTCAAAATAACAGTAAGGTTAATTCTTTGGGAAGAAGTAAAAAGAGAATATCAGGAGGAAAAAAATACAGAATCAATTGATGTGTCTATTAGTTGGTAAGTATAAACTCTCGCTTTAGATCTGAGAGATCAGCAGGAACTGGCCAAGGCCGATATTTTCCAACCTTAATGCTTACTTTTTGTCATCGACTCAGGTAGGATTTGTTTCCTTTTGCTTCGTATCTATAGCTGTGCTTAAATCACCAGAGATTTAGGTTAGATTATTGTTCGCATGCATTGGAATGTTTAAGCTGCATTGTTCACGGGCCATAAAAATCTAGTATTATAGAAGAGAAAGACTCTCGACATGGGTGCTTAAAAGTCAATAAATTCTAAATTAGGGCCTTACAGACATTTCTCATTAGCTAAATGTGTGTCCTTTCATTAGAAGCTGCAGTTTGATATTTACCCATTAACTACTTACGTGTCCTCTTGTTAGAATCATGCCTCTCCACTTTCCCTAAAGCCTACAATTTCATTTTTCCATTTTTGTTTCTATTTTCCTCTCATGGTCGATCAGTTTCTGCTTTCTTCGCCTATAGATAAATCTATCGCTTATCAAGTAGCTGGTATCTCTCTCTCTCCGTCCCACTGTGCTTTTGCCTTTTGCAATTGAATTTGTCGTTGTTTTTATTTCTTAAACCTAAAGTTTCACTGATTTCATATCAATTTAAATTCAGTTTCTTTTATGCACAATTGGTTGACTTGGTTAAGTTGTGTCGATTTTCTCAATTTTGTTAACGGGGTACTTAATGGGTTTATGAAAAATGTTAATGGGTTTAACATCGAGATTTTAAAATTTATATTTTGCAGACTTACTGGGAGAAAAAAGTATGAAATGAAGGGGAAATCTACAAAGTAGTGCAAATATTAGCATGTGCATTCAGATTTGGTTCCTTCAAAACCTGATGTTGATATGGAACGGTGCTTTTCTGATGTTATGCTAAACAAAAAAAGCTATTCATGTAAGTTGTTACTATATCTTATAGTGTGCTCTCAGGATGTATGAGAGCAGATTTTAATTCACTATTAGTTGTATCTGTTATGATTATTTGACAACAAATACATGCCTCATATGTATCCTCAATTACATTATATGCATTTAGACATGTCATAATTAGTAAGATATTTGTAGATGATAATTTTGTTTTTAATGATAGATTTGAATTGAGAAAGAAAAAGCAGGGAAAGGGAAAAATTATAGAACAAATATCAGACAATTCTCATGGAACGAGTTTTCTAAGTTTTGTATTTTGACATAACAAGTTAAGAGGCTAGAAATAGTTGCAATATATTTATGGATTTGTCAAGCATTTATATAACAATAAACCCCGTATAATCCTACGAGTGGGGTCTGGGGAGGGTAGTGTATATACAGATCTTACCCCTACCTTGAGAAGATAGAGATGTTGTTTCCAGTACAGCCTCCGTATTTTGACATAACAAGTTAAGAGGCTAGAAATAGTTGCAATATATTTATGGATTTGTCAAGCATTTATATAACAATAAACCCCGTATAATCCTACGAGTGGGGTCTGGGGAGGGTAGTGTATATACAGATCTTACCCCTACCTTGAGAAGATAGAGATGTTGTTTCCAGTACAGCCTCCGTATTTTGACATAACAAGTTAAGAGGCTAGAAATAGTTGCAATATATTTATGGATTTGTCAAGCATTTATATAACAATAAACCCCGTATAATCCTACGAGTGGGGTCTGGGGAGGGTAGTGTATATACAGATCTTACCCCTACCTTGAGAAGATAGAGATGTTGTTTCCAGTACAGCCTCCGTATTTTGACATAACAAGTTAAGAGGCTAGAAATAGTTGCAATATATTTATGGATTTGTCAAGCATTTATATAACAATAAACCCCGTATAATCCTACGAGTGGGGTCTGGGGAGGGTAGTGTATATACAGATCTTACCCCTACCTTGAGAAGATAGAGATGTTGTTTCCAGTACAGCCTCCTCATTTATTTTATCAAAAGAAGAGAAAAAAACTAATCGATGCAGAATCTTTTACTAGGTTCAATCAAAAAGAATTTGAGTGGTTTATCTAATTCATTCCTCTAACTAAAATCATTGATTGTTTGGATACATGGAGCGGAGAGGTTCCATTTAAATATATGTTTCTTTTCAGCCTTTACTTTCATCTTTACCTGCTAATTATGATTTTCTGCTTGATTATTTCACTTTCTATTTGATAACATCTCTTTTGCCTTAAAAAATCTTCTGTTTTATGCATTTGAATGGGCATTTATGCATCTTCTCTCACAGAAAAAGTGCAAGTAGGATACTACTTTACCTTTCAGGTGACATCTTGAGATGTTAATTAAAGATTGCAGTGGAAAGAAAGAAGGTCAATCAGACATGCATTTTGGTTAGCTAGAGGATTGTCCCATGTACGTAAACATATCTGTTCTTGAGTGTTTGAATCTTTAATGTAACAAGCGTAACCTCAAGTGTGTGTTAAATCGAGTGGTAAAAGTGTGTTTTTAAACTATAAGCATGCTGAGTATTGGACTTCCTTGGTTTTCTGTATTCTATCAGTACTTTTTTTATTTTGTAATTTCATGGCTGATGTATGCTAAATCAAAGGCTACAACTCCTGTAGGTGCTAAATCAGAGGCTAAGATGCAACAAGTCTTAATTTAGAATTTTTTTATTTATGGAATTGTTTGCAGCTCAAATTTTATCATTCGATGCACTGTAAGATGATAAAATTCCAAATCATCACTTGCAACCACGTCATTCTACTCTGTTTAACTTAATTTGTATACCAAGTTGGCCATGTGGCCTAGGCTTTGCAAAGTATGCAGCTCCAAGTATTTTCTTACATATTGTAGTTGGACATGTAGATATGGTGAATCCATTTTAGATGCAAATGTGAGCTCCCTAAGAATTGTTAGGACGAATGGAAAGACTGCATTAAACACAACTGCCAAGTATTTGCTTACATATTGTAAAAGCACTAAAGGAGCAACATCCAGATACAATATCCATAAAAAACATCTAACTGCACTTCATATGACTATTGGGCAAGATACTTCTTTGGTCGAGGAGGAAATACTGAATAGTGACGACTCAGTATTGATTGAGCGCTACACGAAGGGCAACACAGTCTTGCATATAGCCACAGTCTTGCATATAGCCACTCAGTATAAAACGTTTCTTAAGCTTATGGCATGATTCTTACTATTCTGAATACATCAAAAGATCTACATTTATTTCCGGATGACAAAGTTAAATCTCATATTCTATAGCACTTATGTTCCTGAACTGTGCATTATTTTCATTCATAAAGGTTGGGTCCTTGAGCTTCCAATGTGATCTATCAGTGTCTATAAATCCATGTCGTTGCTTGTGTGTCTATATAGTTGCAGTTCCATGTTGCTTTTCCCGTCTCCTAATGGGTATATATAGAAAATCGATTTTTCATTCTTATGAGTAAGTTTTGATATTTTTTGTATGAATTATCCTTTCGTTACACTTATAAGTCATACATTAACCTCTCTTCATTACTACTTTGTTTGTCATACCTACTTCTGTTAAGCCTTTTTACACATGTTTCTTCTCTATTTTGTCGATGTTTACTGAAAATCGTTGTTTAGATTGTTAATGAACTATTGGCATAGAAGTAACGATTGTTGGTAAAGTTGCTTTTGAATTTCTTTTCTTGACTTGGGGTTTTATGATTTTTCGTTATGTCTACTGGTTTATGCCTCTTTATACACTCATTTCAGCTATAACGTCATGATGGTTAGAATTCTTCAATTTTATATAGTAATAGTGAAAAGTTTCAGCGTGGAATTGCTTCTTATCCCCTGTTGCTTTCTGGGGAAGTTGGAAGAGTAAAAAGAACTACTGTTTGGAGGAGGAAAAAAAATTGAACGCATCCTGTTTCTTAAATGTTTAAGTTATCAAATTTCCTAGGTGTACATCATAATGTAGTGAATGACCTTACTTGAACAGGACGAACAAAGAAACATTTGGTTCATTTTGGAAAAATCATGAAAGAACACAACAAATTTATAAGATATGTTGCAGAATATTTTGTGTTTATTTGTATGAATGCATAAGGCCGTATGTTCATTTGGACCATTTAAACTTGTGATTTATGTATTAGTATGTGATTTTATAGTATGGTATAGTCGTTCATGTAATATGTTCTATTTGAGAGAGTCCATACTCTTAGAACCATTATATGGTGTATTATTAACAAGGTTGCTTCCATAGAGAGAAGCAGATTTTAGCTGAAGAGTATTTGGCTTATTTCCACATTCACGTGGATATAGTAGAAACTACTATGGAAGAAAAAATTTGCCAAAAGAGTTTCCTATTTACAGAAATCAATATCAAATATGCTGTGTCTTTATATCTGTTTCATGTATTTATGCAGTGTTGTAATCTTTCTTCTCCTGCTTCATATTTTTCCTAGCTCACAGATTGTTTTTTAATGGTGCATAACGTGCTTTAAAATTAGGATGTCTATGACTTGGTTGGGCTTTATGCTGCTAAAAGGGAAAAAATTTAGAGGAACATCTATAGGAATGGGATGCTATATCATAAATCTGCTCGTATTCGTCCTTGTGAGGTAAGACTCATTTCTATTCCTAACTTTTTTAGTTCGCTTCTGACCAGAGAAGCTAACAAATTAGCGCGATAATGGAGTGTCGTGGTTTATTTGTTGATAGTTGATTGTTTACTTCCAACCACTGAGGTAAATAGTGGTTGAACACTTCCCATGGGTTTTTATCTTTTGCACTTACATGCATTTATGAAGTCTGATATAACCATTTGCATTTGTAATTTTTCTAACTTATATGCCAGAAAAACTAAAAACAGCTCTTTGGCGAAATGCTATAATTTGTTTGAAATTTTGCTGACAACAAACTATAAAGTGATATTGGAGAGTTTTAAGCTACTATCTTAATCTCTTCTAAGTTGGGTTCATTTTTGGTACAATGGTTTCTGCAGTTATCTTAAGTGAAGTCACATTTTCTATAGGATTCTCTGCATTCTCTATGAGAAGGTTTCGACGTGTGTGTTTCTGGGAAAAAAATTCAAAACTGGGGGTATTTTAGTCTTTTTCACTAATTGCCTATTGTGATTTGACGTGTCTTTTTAATCGGGAACTGATTTGCCAAGTTTGAGGTCTTCTCTCATTTTCTCCATTGCTCCCTCCGGATCTCTCTCTATCCCCTTCGCTCTCTCTCTCTTTTTCTCTCGATCATCATCGTTGTGTGCTCTTCCTCAGAAGCTCCTTGCTTATTTCTTCTGATTTGTCTGTTAAATGGGCTACATCAGCAATAGATGATGGGGATCAGGGCTCCCGGCGAGTTCAATCTGTCTGTCTTCTATTTATTTTTTGAATTCCTGTAGTAAGGCCTTTAACCGCCAACACAAAAGTTTTCACTTCCCTTTCGACCTTGCTCTAAAATATTCTAGATCTTGCTTTATCTATGTGTAACCCTTTTCTTGGAGTTCAGTTTTCCCCCTTGTTTTAGGACTCTGCGAGTGCTCAATAGTGGTACCGATGTTTGCAGGGTTTTATGAATTTGCGGGTGTTTGGAGTTTGCACGGCAGAGATTGGGCTGAACTAAGTGGTATTAGGAAACAGTGATGAAAGGATTTTTCTTCCGCTAAGTGTCTCCAGATAAAGAATTGTCTATTCGTTATTTTTTGATAAGCATAAAGACTTGTCTTTTCATTTTTACCCAGTAAATAAACGCACTATCATGTGCTTCATCCAACAAGTGATGTCAAAACAGTAAACCCATAAGAATTAGCTATGGAGAAAATCAAAGAGAACTACTAACTGTAATAAAAAGTGCAGAGAAAGGCCTTGAAATAGAGGGGTAGATAGAATGTCAATGAAGCAAAAGAAAGAAGGGTAACTTGGTTGAAGAATAAAGAGGATCCGGTGCAGGTAAAAGGTTGGTTTAGTTAATAATAACAAACTTGCTTCTCTTACTATTTGTCATATGTTAAGTTGCTTCCAATACCTCTTTATGTATGCTTCGTACATTTAGAAGTGTATCATGTCATTACATGACAAATTGTGTTTAGTGTCGTTGATTAAAGATTCTTATTTACATACTGATCTTTGACTTATAATCTTATATGCACGTGTACTCTGTGATTGCTTGAGCATATCAAAAGGATTGGACTGCTGGAGTATACATGGAATGGTAGAAGCATCATATATGTTTAACAATTATTCTTTCTGGGTAGCTTCTTTATAGTGTAAATATGCTTAGCTTCAACTCATTTGCAGGTGAGGGGTGACATTCTGCAACAGTTTCAAGCATGACAGATATTGTCCGACATTGTTGTTTCTGCTTATGAGTTTGGTTTTGCAATTTGAGTTTAAATTCTAGAGGCTATTGCAGTCATACCCGGTGGGATGCCGTCCAGTATAGACTGAAGAGAAGTTTAGAGTATTGCCATGGCAAATGTCTCTTTTAACCAAGAGTACATAGGAACAACATTTTGATATATTTAGATTCACACTTCCTGTACAATTCTTTGGAGAGTTGTTGCTTTCACATAGATAGAAAACATTTGTACGGTTACCAAGCTATGAAGTGTGTATGTCGAAACCCTCCAACGGTAGTGTGCGTGTATCTTTGGTATAGAACTATGAACTGCTTTCAATACTTACTACTGACAATCAAACTCATTCTCAAGCTCATTAGTCATGACTGGCATCCTATGTCAATATACGGTTGGTCTAAAACACCCCTCCCGAAACAAAATAGTATTTCTAAATCCACTATTTTGCCTATAAAACTCCTATACTGTTTGTATTTTTTAAAGGGAAAATTTCACATAAGAACAACTGGGATCCCTACTTTTCAATTTTATAACCCATATTTTAATTTACAATCAACTAACCCAAAAATAGTAGGTTAAGATTTAACATCCAACTACAATAAGTTCTCAAAATTACTATTTAATTTTTAAAAAAGATTGCTCAAGTTTTAAGTTAATTTTTGAATCAGTAATTGTAACTCAAATATTAGTTCAACAAATCAAATCCATTTGGATGGCGAAAATTAGATTTTTAACAAGCTTAAATATGTGGGTTTAGATTTCGAATTTGATTTTGTGAGAAATTTGGAGTGGGTATTATCTAGAATTGTTAGAAATAGTATAAGGAAGTTGTATATAAAACTTGAAGTCATTTAATGGAGATTTGGACTAGTTTTGAACAAGAATTGCAACTGAAAATTGTGGAAAAAGTTCGTCTACAGACGCTTGTATAAAGGTGTATAAAAATGTATAATAGTGTATAAGATGTGCTTACACACTAATATACACTATTATACAAGGTTATACATAATTATACAAAAAAACTAACTTCGTCTTCTTCCTTGAGTTTTTTCTGAAATTTAACTCAAATCTTGCTCAAATCTACTCCAAATCACTTCAAATTTAAATTTTGAACTTCTTTTGATATTTTCAATCAATTGGAACAACACCCAATCCAAACAACTAACAAACTCAAAAAATCTTATTTTTGAAAGCAAAGCTTTGAATGACCTTCAATGGTGGATTGTTGAATCTTCAATTTTCTTACATTGCAACTAGGTGACACAAGGAAGAAGCAGTAATGGGCGACGACCCCTTGAAGCATATGTAGAAGATGTGAGAAGAAAAGAGAGTGAAAGCAATGGTTGTGAGAATATAGATTTAATTTCATAACTTTTAGAAGCAATGGTTGTAAGAAAACATATTTTGAATTTGCTAGTACTTTCAAAATATGTACAATATGGGTTAGGTCGGGTAAAACTTAAAAATATGGGCCATTTTTTGTTATGGTGTGAAGTCAAGTGTATTTTCTTGTAATTCTTTCTTTTTTAAATAATGCCCTACTTGCATTTCTTAACAGATAATGCTTAATACATGTGGACCCATACAACTCTCCTTTCTGCATGGAGTAGTAGGGCTGGGCATATATCGGGTAAAACCGATAACCCGAACCATTAATTTTTTATTGGATTATCGGTATCGGGTTATTGGGTTAACGGTTCGATAACGGTTTAGAATTTTTTTACTATTGGGTTATCGGTTCGGGCCTCAGTTTGTCAATTTTGTTAATGGGTTAACCGATAATCCAATAAGAATTAATAAAATTATGACTTTATCCTTAAGTATATACAATTGCTAGGGCTTCAGTTCATTCTCTCATATTCTTTCTCAACCCCACTCTTCAGTTGCTTCATCTTCATTCTTCATAGACCTTACTAGTTACTCCCAGTATAAGTCTTTAGTATGCTATATGTGAATTCTTCTCTTTTTTGCTTAACTACGGTGAATTGTCTTTTCTTTTTTTCTTAACTCTAGATTGAGTTATCTTATCGGGTAAACCGATAATGATCGATAACCGATTAACCGATACCCGATAACCGATATCTTATCGGTTTGATTATCGATTTGTCAAATTTGTAAACCGATAACCGATATGCTAAACCAATAATATTCATAACCGAACCGACTGATACTCACTCCTATGGAGTAGCATGAAACTTTTTTCTTAAATGCACCGTATGTTAGTGTTGATTAGATATTTTTGTAAGAAGTACTATGAACCTTGTTTTCTCATTTGCTAAAACTTTTAGTTTTGTTTTAGTCAAGTAGTAGAAGTTTTCGTAGAGAAAGTAAATCAATTTTTAAATAATAGGACAACAAAAAGAGGTATCGATAGATATTACAAGATTTTCATATACCTATACTATTTTAAAGCAGTTTAAAAATAAAAATTAAATGGTTTCATCTATCCACACTTTTTGAAAGCGATTTCAAACTGAAAAATTTTATATTCAAAAATAATTTTAAAAAGTATAGTTTGTTAAACCTCAAAAGTTAATTTAAGTAATGAGATGTGTTCCTATTATACTTGGAGGCTATATGTTATATACTTAATTGATGTAAAAGTATAATCTACATGGTTTGAACTCCATACTTCCATGATAAGTTTTCAACTATCAATAAACTGTCTTAAATAGTACCTGTTATAATTTTTATATTGTTTCATTATGAAAATTAACATATGACAATTCTATAAAAAATAAAAGCATTCCTCCCATCTCCTTAAATTGAGGAAAAAATTAAAATCCATATAATTTATATAGACTTCTATCAAATATTTATTATTTTTATCATAAGGTAACATTATTTTAAATGAATTATATTAAAATATAATTTGAACTGCTATATTGAATTCCTACAATTTATATCATGTAAAAAAAATTATAATTATGTTAATATTTGTTTTAGTGTTTATTGTTCTCTTTGTTTGAAGTAGTAAATTGCCTCCTCAGGAATGCAAATTCCCTTGGAAGTTCTCTTTGCTTATTGTACTAAAAATATTTCTTAATTTTGTTGTATACAAGATATGAAATAAAATCATAGTTTTTTCTCATCTTTTATCGTATTATAATGAATGACATTTCATTCATCGAGTAGCTAATTGTTCCCACTGTCGAAACACTTGCAAGACCAATTTGGATGTATTCCATATTAGTTTACAGAAGATAGATTAGTATGCTTTTTAATCTAGAAAATTATTAGTATAGATGATACTTGTAGCTTTTTAATGTATCCTCTTATAAAATATTCAAATACCGTGGGAAAATAATACCATTGATATCAATTTTTCAATTTGATGTTTGTGTTTGACATTAACCGGAGGTTAAAATAAGTATTATAGCACTTACTCTTTTTATGTTAATTAAAGCACCTTAAACAGGTTATAATTTGTAGCTTAATTTTATGTAAATTATTAAAATAAATTAATTGTAAATTGTGATCCCCAATATCATTTTCTATCCATGATTAAATCAATATAATAATGATAATTTATTTATTAAAATATTAACTAAGAACCGACAAATAACAATTTTCAAAATTGTAATGTTGAGCCCGTATACGGGCCTTTCCTCATCTAGTATAATAAATAACTAAACAATAATACTAACTTGTTATAAAACAATAAAAGAAGAAGAAGCGTGTTGCGGATAAAATTAGGGAGAGAATTCTTATTCATTTTGGGATGAATTACAATGGAATAGGACCCATCTATTTATAGGAAAAGAGTGACTTAGCCATCGTAACGACCCGGCTGGTCATTTCATGAGTTACCGCTCTGTTTTCCCTGTTTATGCTTCTTTATGCTTTGTTCATATGTGTTATATGGTATCAGGTTAGTAGGTTCGAATTCGGAATGGTTTTGGAAAGGTTTGACACGCTTAGTCTCTTTTAAGAAAGCTTAAGTTGGAAAAGTCAATCGGATGTTGACTTATGTGAAACAGGTCTCGGATGTAAATTTTGATGGTTCAAATAGCTTCGTGGGGTTATTTGGGACTCAAGAGCGTGATCGGAATGTATTTTGGAGGTCCGAGGTAGATTTAGCCTTGAATTGGCGAAATTGGAATTTTGGCGTTTTCCGGTTGGTAACGGAGATTTTGATATAGGGGTCGGAGTGGAATTCCAAAAATGGGAGTAGGTCCGTTGTGTCATTTGTGACGTGTGTGCAAAATTTCAGGTCATTCGGACGAGGTTTGATAGACTTTTTGATCAAAAGCGGAATTCGGAAGTTTTTGAAATCTTAGGCTTGAATCCGATGTTATTTTGTTGATCCGATGTTGTTTTAGGTGTTTCGAAGATTGGTATAAGTTTGGATAGTGGTATATGACTTGTTCTTGCTTTTGGTTGACGTCCCAGGGGCCTCGGGGTGATTTCGGATGGTTGACGAGGAGTTTGGAGTTGGAAAGTTACAGCAGAAGCTGTTGTATTCTGTCATAACCGCACCCGCAGATTGAGAACCGCAGAAGCATACTATTAGCCACAGACGCGGAATTGGGTGAGAAGAGCTGAAGGCGCAAGTGCGGAAGTTGGGTCGCACCTGCGAGACCGCATGTGCGGTAGTTTATGCGCAGGTGCAGTTTTGAGGTTATAAGTGGAAACCGCAAAAGCGGTCGTTTGGTCGCAGAAGCGGCTCCGCAGGTGCACAAAAATGGGTCGCATGTGCGAAAACCATGGGCCAGAAAGTATATAAGCCCTCCTTCACGAATTTTTGGTTATTCCACCATTTTTACATATGGGTTTGAGCTTGAGAGAGCATTTTGAAGAGGGATTTCAAGGGGATTTCATAGAGGTAAGGTTTTTGGACCCTAAACTTATTTCTATGATGGTTTTTGACTGATTAAGATTGAAATCTATGGAAATTAGTAGCAAAAATTGGGGGTTTAGAGCTTGAAAATCTGAGACCTTAATCTAGGGATTTGAGGGTCAATTGTGGTCGGATTCTGGTATTTTGGTATGTATGGACTCATGGGAGGATAAGGATTTTATTGATGTAATTTTATCGAATTTTGAGACGTGGGCCCGGGGGTCGGGTTTGGTCAATTTCGGGATTTGTGTTGTAATTTAATTATTTTCGCACGGGCTTCGTTTCCTTAGCATATTCTAATGTTATGATTCTGATTTTGGGTAGATTCAACGCGAGTTGAGGCCGAGTCGAAAGGCAAGGGCGTCGCGGAGTAGTATTTCATCCGTTTTGAGGTAAGTAACGATTGTACATCTAGACCTAAGGGTATGAAACCCCAGTATTTCGTATTGTTTTGATAAATAAGCTGACACACATGCTAGGTGACGAGCGTGTGGGCGTGAACCGGTAGGGGTTGTGAC